AAGTGCAGCGACATCATCACCATGATCCAATTTATTAATTCCAGTGGCACTAATACAGCGGCGATGGGCACGACGGACAGTCAGGCTGCAGGCACAGGCACCATCCTCACCCCTCTCCCCCCTCTCTCCACCACCTCCACCAGTTCCATCACCCCCCAAACCTCTCTGCAGCAATAGTTGGTTGGTTTGTATTTCCCCCCCCCCTTCTCGAGTCAAATAAATACAGAATTGGGCAAATCTAAGTGGAAATGTTTTAGTTACAATGGCAAAGATGAGTCATGTGCAACACAGAAACCTATAAGGCTTTTTTTTTTTATGGTTTTTTATGTCATTTATCCTCATTGAAAGTCTCAAATCGCTAGGAAACCCCTTAATTAACGAGATGGTGCTCACGGGCGTCTACCCCCCCTTGGCATGGGGGAGAACGCTAATTAATTCATTAATTTTTTTGTGTGTGGTGGGTTGGTTTGTTTTCCCATTCTCCCAGAGTTCCATGAGGTTCATTAGAGTTTATCCAGGAAGTTGTCAAGGGCAGGGATTCCTTCCTTGAGCCCTTTACGCTTGCGGGTCTCGGCCACCACCTGGCAGGGTCTGCTGGCACTGTCGAAGGGATCACCAGGCAGGATCTGCCAGTGGTCAAACACACACTGGGGGAAGGCTTGGCCCCCTGTGTTGGACCTCAAATCTGCTGTGAAACCTGTGAGGAGGGAGGAATGGGAAGAACTCCATGTTAATTGCAGAGAAACATCAACGGTGTGAAGAAGAAGAGGAGGAAAAAGCCTCCTGAGATGTCAACCATAGGGTAAGGTCTGCACGGGAAGGGGCTGGGAAGAAGTTAAGAGGCCTAAAGGAGCTCCAAGAGAGATAAAGAGGGACTTGGGACAAGGGATGGAGGGACAGGACACAGGGAATGGGTTCCCACTGCCAGAGTTACAGGCTGGATGGGATATTGGGAAGAAATTCCTCCCTGGGAGGTGCTGAGGCACTGGAACTGATTTTCCAGAGTGGCTGTGGCTGCTCCATCCCTGGGAGTGTTGGATGGGGCCTACATCAACCTGGGCTAGTGGAAGATGTCCAAACCTTGGCAAGGGGTGGAACTGGATAACCTTCCAAGGCTCCTTCCAGCCCAAAATGTTCTGCAACTTTGGCCTCTTCTCCCAGGCAAAATGTAACAGGACAAGAGGAAATGCCTCAAATTGTGCCAGGGAAGGTTCAGGTTGGAAGTTCCAGGGTCATTTTCCAAGCTGATTTGGGCATTTAGGTTTGGAATGTGCTGCCAGGGAGGTGGTGGAGTCACCATCCCTGGAGATGTCCAAAAACCATGTAAATGTGGCACTTGAAGACACGGTTGATGGTGAACATGGTTGGACTATCCTGGAGGTCTTTCCCAAGGTTCTCCCTCTCCCTCCCAGTTTGCCTGGGACCAACACACTCACCAAAGGACTCGTTGACAGGCAGATAGGCCTTGACCACAAACATGGGTGTCCCAGCCACTTGGGTCTCCTCGAACACGTGCCCACGCTTCCTGTTCAGCACACCATAGATGCCACCAACCACCTGCTCCGGGCACTGCAAGAGAGACAAGAGAGTCAGGACCTCAAAATTCCTCCTCACCTGGTCTTCTGAAGCCTGTGAGAGGTTCCTCACCTGGATCTCCACCAGGTAGATGGGCTCCATGAGGCGTGGCTGGGCGGTGAGCACGCAGGCGTAGAGGCAGCGCCGAGCCGTGGGGATGATCTGGCCACCGCCGCGGTGGATGGCGTCGGCGTGGAGGGTCACGTCGTGGACGTCGAAACGCACCGCACGCATGTTCTCCTCGCACAGGACTCCCTGGGAAAACACAGCAGATGGTCAAACCCACACCTAGGTGGTGTTCCTGGCCTAGAGGGTCTTGTCCTTTAGGCTTGAGCTCTCCATGAAGATCTGAGAGCAGGAAGTCAAGGAATGTTGATCTGGCTGCTCAATTTTCAACCCTTCAAGGGTTGGACTGCTGGATGCCTTTTCCAAGCTAGGTGGGCACAGATGGCATTCCAGGCCTGGAGGCTCCAGTGAGCTCTCTGTGGAAGCAACTCTGAGAGCAGGAAGCCAAGAGCTCACCAAGGAGCTCAACCTCCACACTGAGGGCTGAACCTTCAACCCTTCCAGGGTTGGACTCTTGATGTCTTTTCCAACCTAAGTGTTCTGGGCCACCACTGTGTCTCCTCCTAGGTGGCTTCTGAAGCCATGTTAACCTGCATCCTGAGGTTCAGGCCAACAGAAGATCTAACACACATTAATGATGCTAAAACTCAAGTATTCAGCCAGGGAAAATGGGGATTTTTGTCCCAGTAATGTGATGAGTTGATGCTGGCTTGGTGTCTCCTGCAGACCAAAGCTAATTACACAGGGAAATGAGTCCCTCCTGTTGGTGTTCCCAGTCTGTCACCTCCTCCTGGAGTCCTCTCCTGTCTAATCCTGACAACATAATTAGCAGACCAGGCCATATCCCTAGGGAGGCTCTCTCCTTCCTTTGGATGCCACTTGTGTTCTCCACATGGACAATTCCTGCCTCAGATGTTGCACTTTGCTCCCTGAAAAGCACAAAAACCACCTCAAAATTTAGGTTGATGCTGTCAGTGGATTTCTGGCAGTGCTGGGAGAAACCTCTTTAGTCTTGAGGTTAAGTCTGTGCCTAAACTGCTCTGACATCTTCACTGCAGCTGCTCCCAAACTTCACCCCAAAGATGCTGAGTGACCTTCTTGCACTGTGACCACTTTCCAAAGGTTCCTTCGGGCAGGAGGACACTAGGCTGGGGAAGGGACTCGAGCACAAGTGCCATGAGGAGAGGCTGAGGGAGCTGGGGGTGTTCAGCCTGGAGCAGAGGAGGCTCAGGGGAGACCTTAGCACCCTCTGCAACTCCCTGACAGGAGGTTGGAGTCAAGTGGGGGTTGGTCTCTTCTCCCAGGCAACCAGCAGCAGGACAAGAGGGCACAGACTCAAGCTCTGCCAGGGGAGGGTTAGGTTGGACATTAGGAAGAGATTTTTTACAGAGAGAGTGCTCAGGCATTGGAATGTGCTGCCCAGGGAGGTGGTGGATTCACCATCCCTGGAGGTTTTCAAGCTGAGACTGGATGTGGCACTTAGTGCCATGGGCTAGTGACCATCGTTGGGCCTGGATGTGGGATCCTGGAGGTCTCTTCCAACCAGGCTGATTCCATGATTCCATGACACCCAGGAGCTGCTGATGCCACCCCCCATGCTCCCAGCCCTCACCTCCTTGGTGGCCCACTGGAATCCTGCCACCACGCTGTCCTTGATCTCGTTCAGGTACTGCACTCCCTTGGTGATGTCAGTCAGGATGTTGGGGCCGGTGCCATCAGGACCGAAGCACCAGATCTTCCTGGCCTCGGTGACGTCCCACTCGTACTTCTCGGCCAGGTAACGCGCCCTCTGCTTCAGCTCCTGCCGGGCTGACACCTCCCCCTTGTCGATGTCCTCGGCCAGGCCGTCAGGGAAGGGTCTGGCCTTCATGTAGAGCCTGTTGTGTTTGTTGGGGGACTTGGAAAGGCACATCACGTTGGACTCCTCGCTGACCGTCTCGCGGTAGGACACCACCGGGTCTGATTTCTGTGGGGACAGAGCAGAGAGGACACGTGAGGCACCACCAAAGGGCAGAGCAGCATTACCCACCCTGCAGCACCAGCTGAGGGAGCTGTGAGGGCTCAGCACAGAGGGGAGAACTTTCCTTCAGTTTTCTATGAGGGAGCTGTGAGGGCTCAGCACAGGGGGGAGAACTTTCCTTCAGTTTTCTACACTGGCATATGGGAGTACCTGATCCCCTCACTTGTGGTTTCAGTAGGAGAAACATGTGGAGAGCAGGAGGATGTTGTGGAGGCTTTGGTAGACAGGAAAAAAACACCCACTCCAGAGAAAAACCCAAGGAATGGTGGTTTGCTCTCCACAACTCCCTGTCAGGAGGGGCAGCCAGGTGGGGTTGGGTTCTGCTCCCAGGGAACAGCCTGAAGCTGCACTGTGGGAGGTTCAGGTTGGACATCAGGAGGAGTTTCCTCATGGAAAGGGTTGTCAGGCACTGGAACTGCCCAGGGAGGTGGTGGAGTCACCATCCCTGGAGGTGTTCAAGGCACAACTGGATGTGGCACTTAGACAAGGTGGTGATGGGTCACAGGTTGGACTCCATCTACAGGTCTCTTCCAACCTCAAGGGTTCTGTGAGCTCACCAAGCACTCAGCCTCTGTACCTTAATGGGGATGCAGGCATGGTCCTCCTCCAGGTCCTTGAGGCAGATCTCCAGGTGCAGCTCCCCAGCACCAGCGATGATGTGCTCTCCAGACTCCTCAATGATGCACTGAAAAAACCATGGAGGGCAGGTGAAGCTTCCAAATACCACAGCCAACACTCTCACACAGAGAGCAACTGTCTCTGGGCTTTGTGTCTGACTCTAGATACCTCCAGATGCTCTTTGCACTCATCTGGGGGTGACACAGCACCAAGTCAAGGTGCATGGCAGCATTCCTCCCCACTCTGGTAGGGTGGAGATCTATACTCAACTCAACACTTTCCTCCCGGCACTCCCCAGTGAACCAGACCTGGTGCCAGTGGGACCAGCACTTCTCTCCCTGGAGCTATGTGGTCACTCACCTGCACCATGGGGTCAGACTTGGCCAGTCTCTTCAGCCCCTCCACCAGCTTGGGCAGGTCAGCAGGGTTCTTGGCCTCCACGGCCACACGCACGACGGGGCTGACGCTGAACTTCATGACCCTCATGTTGTGAGCGTGCTCAAAGGTGGTGATGGTTCCAGTCTTCACGAGGAACTGGTCGACACCCACCAACCCCACAATGTTTCCACAAGGCACGTCCTCGATGGGCTCCACGTAGCGACCCATCATGAGAATGGTCCTGGCCAGAGGGAAAGGTGGTTTGGAGAGGTTGGAAAAGGGGAGGAGATCCCACCTGGAGCTCAACAGCACATCTGAAGCTCATGGATGAGCACCTTGACAGGCCTCAGAGATCCAAGACACCACCAACACCCCAAACCTGAACCCCAGCCAAGACCAACCTTTGAATTGGCTTCAGGTACAGATCCTCCTTCTTGCCAGGGGTGTAGTTTGGTCCCATGATTCTGACTTTCAAGCCAGTCGAGACGAGACCAGAGAAGACACGTCCGAAAGCGTAGAAACGTCCCTTGTCAGAGGTTGGCACCATTTTAGAGATGTACATCATCAGGGGCCCTTTGGGGTCACAGTTCTTGATGCCTGGCAGGAGGGGAGAGACCAGTTTAGCAGAGAGCTCCTTCCAGCACATGTTCCCCCACCCAGCCCCAGAGCACAGCGTGAGACCTGCACCCACTACTGTCCCAGCCCACAGGTTTCTGTCCTGGAGAGGAAGGGGAATGACTTCCCACTGCCAGAGGGCAGGGATTGATGGGATACTGGGAAGGAATTCCTCCCTGGGAGGTGTGAGGCACTGCAATGGATTTCCCAGAGCAGCTGTGGCAGCTCCATCCCTCCAAATCTTCAAGACCAGGTTGGAATAACCTAGTCTAGTGGAAAGTGCCCCTGCCATGTCACAACTGGATGACCTTCAAGTCCCTTCCAATCCAAACCATTCTATGAAGGATCACACCACCAAGAGATGTGACTTCAAACAAATCCAGGCTCAGCCAGAGCCTCTGGCACACACTCTGGCTACTCCCCCAGTTACTCAGCCAGCTCAGAGCTCCAGAGCAGAACTGTGAACCACTAAGCCTGGTTGATCCCTGCTAGAAAAGCCACAAGCTCAGGAATTCCAGGCACTCCCAAGCTGTGGACGTGGAGAACAAGCTGGCATCAGACCTGCTGGAGCTCTGAGGCCTGGCAGCAGAGCAGGTCCCCCTACCTATGGCAGCCTCATCGTCGGGGGGACCCTCGTAGAGCAGCTCACAGCGATACTTCTGAGCTGTGACAGGGGAAGGCAGGTGAATGGTGATCATCTGCAGCAGAGCATCTCCAGCAGGCAGCCACCTCCTCATCACGGCCTGGGCACAGAGCAGGATCCAGTCAGAGTGTTGCCCACCTGCAGCCAACCTTCCCCAAGCTCCCCAGCCAAGCCAGGTGAGGCCCACACAGCTCCATCACCTCCTCAGCCCAACCTCACCTTCAGCAGGGGTTTGCCCTCCTTGTCCTTGTCTTCACTGTCCAGCTTGATGTCCAGTTTCTCAATGAGTTTGGCTGCCTCTTCTTTCTTGAAGTTCATGATGGCATCGAACACCTGCAACAAGAGCAGCAGTTCTGAGTGTTGCCGTGACCCACTTTGAGGCAAAAATTGCTGCTCTTGCTCAACACCCTCCAGGAGACTCAATCTACCCCCAGAGTAAAATCATCTAGGTGTCCCTACCCAGGGCAGAGGATTGGGATTAGATGATCTGTTCCATTCCAACCCTTAAATTCTATGATTCTAAGACAAAGTGTCAGACAGTTAAATTTCTTCAATCAAACAAGTCAGGTCAAAGTGAAGAAATTTTCCATCATCACACACAGGAACTGATGAAAACAACAGGAGACACATTCCAGGGTGGAACCCTAAGGAACTCACCTTGAAGATGGGATCAAGGATGAGCTGGCAGAAGGTCCTGGGCAGTTTCTTTCCATCAGGGCTAGTAGCAGATTTGCTGAATTTGCCAGTAGCAGGATCAAAATACCTGGAGAAGGAATCAGAGAAATCAATGCTCAGTTCAGCCATGGATGTGTGGATTACTGTGCCTGCTCAGGGTGGAAGGAAGAGCTGCTGAGGAAGAGGCACCTTCATACCTTCCCCCATCATCCCTCAAGTGCTCAGTGCTCAGATTAATCCTGCCCAACCACTCCCTCCCTCTCCCATTTCTGCAGTGTCAGGCTGCAGTCACGCAGAGCTCATCTGGAATTCCAACCACAGCCCCAATCCCTCCCTCACCTGTCTCCCCACAGCTTCTTCATCATGTCTTCTACTTTCTTGGCACGCTCCGACGGGTTCAGCTGGGCATCTCCCTTGGCAGCAAACTTTGCCACGTACATCTCAGCAAACTGTTTCAGGGTGAAGGCCCAACCATGCAGGCCAGAACCAAAGCCCACGGTGCCCAGCACTGGATCAATCTGTGAGGGAACAGGAGAGTTGGGTTAGAGCCACAGCCACAGCTTTTATATCCCTCAGCCTACCCCATCCCAAATATTCCAGAATATTCAGGACTATGGGAATTTTGAGCAGCTCTGTGACTTTGGTCACCTCCCAGGTCTGGAACAGTCACCAGTTTTAGTTTTGCACTGCAGAACTGTTTTGCCTTCACTCCAACCAGGTGTGGAGAGTCCAAAAGCTGCTTAGATTCCTGGGCAGGTAAGATTCCTGTCCTTCCCAGGAGGATCAGGAAAGCAGCAACACCTGCACTATGCAGGAGCAAAGCCCAAGCTTCTCCTTGAACCTGCAGTCAACAGCTTTGCTCCCTTCCCAGGAACTCAGTGGGACCAAAGCAAAGCTTTTCCTTGGACTCTCCACCCAACAGCTTTGCTCCCTTCCCAGTAACCCAGCAGGAGTGATGCTGGGAGTGCTGGGACTGGGAAACACCTCCTGGCATTCCATTTCAGGAGCCAACCATGGGAGGTTTGCTGCAGAGGATCCTACATCACCCACTACCACAGATGTGACATGGGCAAAACAAGGTCACTGCGAGGAGGAGAAATCATGGGATGGTTTGGACTGGAAGGCACTTTTCAAGGTCATAAAGTCCAACCCCTGCCATGGGCAGGGACAACTTCCCATAGAACAGTTTTTTTTGGCCTTGAACTCCCATGGATGGAGCAGCCACAGCTGCTCTGGGCAACAATCCCTTCTTTTATTTACAGCCTTTATTTGCTCAAGCCTTGACCAGGAGACTCTGGAGCAGAGCCAGGAGAGCCCCAAGCCAGCACAAGCCTGGAGAGTTCAGCCACCTTCATTATTCCACTCTCTGGAGTGATGAGGACAAAACAATGAGGAGGGAACTGCTCCTCACCAACTAATTCCAAACACAGCACTCAGCCTCCCACTCACCATGATATTTCCCATGGGGCCACTTTCTCCCTCTCCATAGGTGGAGATGATGACGTTGACGTTCTCCACAATGCGCTGGAAGGTCTGGTAGAGCTCCTCTGGTTCCAGCTGCAGCTCCAGCAAAGCTCTGTCCATTTTGTTCATCATCAGCACAGGTTTGATCCTCTCAGCAATGGCCTGACGCAGCACAGTCTCTGTCTGCACACACACACCTGCCAAACACAGGGGAATTAGTCATCCTCAGCTCCAAACTCCTCCCAAAATTTCCTCCAGCTGTGGCAAACCTCACCAGAGACACAGTCCACGACGACCAGGGCACCGTCGGTGACACGGAGAGCAGCAGTGACCTCAGAGGAGAAATCCACATGCCCAGGGGAGTCAATCAGGTTGATCAAGAAACCAGATCCATCCTTGCTCTGCTTGATGAAGGCCAAATCGTTCTCAGAGAGCTCATAAAACAGAGAAATAGCTCTGGAAAAAAAGAGAAATTATCATTATTATTCATGTTGTTCCTCCTTAATGCTCAGGAGCATTTTATCCCACACACAGTTGCCACCACTGGCCTAGTTGAGAAGGTGGTGAAAAGTCACAGGTTAGACCTGGTGATCCTGGAGGTCTTTTCCAACCTAAATGATTGTGTCTGGGCTTAAGGATCTCCTCAAGTGGATTCCTGGAGGTCAGTGTGGGAGAGAACAGGAGAACAGGCTAAGATCTGCCTCTTCTAACTCACAACCTCCCCTGACTATCTACAATTTCAAGCATCCAAGGAGGATTCCAGTTTTTAACCAAATATTTAGGCTTTTTCTACTAGCCCAAATCACCTTCTCCATCCCTTTCCAAGCCCCTCAGGGTCCTCAAACCCCCTGTGGGGACACAGCCACCAGGAACATCACCAGAGATGCTCCCTGGAGTCTCCACAATGCATCCATGGGATATCCAAGAATCTCAGAGCTAAAATAGAAGAGGGAAGCTTCTGCTGCACATCCAACTCCTGGAAGCCACCAAGGAACTGCTCAATCATTCCCCACAAGCCAATCAATACTTCCTCTTTCATTCCAGAATTAAGACCCACAAAATGAGCTTCTCAACTAGCCTAGAAGAAGCCCAACACCATCTTCTCCACCTCCTGGAGGACTCAAAATGCCTCCTGAGCTGATGCCAGGGAGCAGAAGGAGCCTGGAGGGAGGGAACTCATATGGATTTGATGGTGACCCCATGAAGACCCTCACCATGTGCTTCTGAACTAGCCTAGAAAAAACCCAACTCCACCTTCTTCACCTCCTGGATTTGATGGTGACCCCATGAAGACCCTCACCATGCGCTTCTGAACTAGCTTAGGATTTGATGGTGACCCCATGAAGACCCTCACCATGAGCTTCTGAACTAGCTTAGAGGAAACCCAACATCACCTTCTTCACCTCCTGGATTTTATGGTGACCCCATGAAGACCCTCACCATGAGCTTCTGAACTAGCTTAGAGGAAACCCAACATCACCTTCTTCACCTCCTGGATTTTATGGTGACCCCATGAAGACCCTCACCATGAGCTTCTGAACTCATTGAAAGGAGGAAGCCCAACACCATCATCTCCACCTCCTGGAGGACTCAACCACCTCCTGAGCCGATGCCAGGGAGCAGGAGGAGCCTGGAGGGAGGGCACTCACGTGGATTTGATGGTGATGCAGCGCTCCTGCTCGTCCTTGCGCGTGTCGGTGAAACGCGTCTCCCCGGCGCGCGCCGAGGCGATGATCCCAGCCTTGCACACCAGGGAATCCGTCAGCGTGGATTTGCCGTGGTCCACGTGGGCGATCACGGACATGTTCCTGATGTTGGCCTTTTTGTCCATGATGGCCCTTATCTGGTCTACTGTGAAGTTCACCTTGAGGGAGGAGAGGAAGGAGGGAGGGTTTAGGGGGGTGTAGAAATAACAATCCTAAGGAATTCAAGTCACCCCATGAATTCCTGATGTGGGAATCAGGGCAATAATTCTGTCGTGTGACAATATGAGCCACAGCAAGGGGACAGACATAGGGGGACCTGGGGCTGCAGCATCAATCCCCTCTCTGCCTCAGGGTCCCAAATCCTGCAGTGTCAGCAGCTCCTGGGGGCAAATCCTCCCAAACCAAACCCAGAGCTGACAGTGCCATCCTGGTGCAAAACCCCCAAGATTAAAGCTAGGAGTACACAGTGCCAACCTGGTGTGATCCCCCCAAAACCAAACCCAGAGCTGACAATGCCATCCTGGAATGATCCCCCTCAAAATCAAACCTTGGGGCATGACAGTGACAACCTGATATGATCCCCCCCCCAAACTAAATCCAGGAAATGACAGTGCCATCCCTGGTGTGATGCCCCCAAAATTAAACCCGGGGGATGACAGTGACAACCTGATATGATCACCCCCCCAACCTGAAACTAGGGGGTGACAGTGCCAGTTCCAGCCTGGTGTGATCCCCCCAAATCAAATCCAGGGGGTGACAGTAGCAACTTGGTACAATCTCCCCCAAAAGAAGTGAACCTGAGAGATGACAATGACAGTGCCAACCTGGTGTGATCCCCCAAAAACTGAACTTGGGAGGTGATAATTACAATGCCATCCCAATGAAGCCCCCCCAAAACCAAACCTGGGAGGGAGGGGTGACACTGCCAGTGTCAGTCTGGTGTGATCCCCCCAAACCAAACCCATGGGGGTGGTGACAGTGACAACTTGGTGTGTACCCCCCGAAACTGCGGGTGACAATAACAATACAGTGTGATCCTCCAAAAACCAAACTCGGGGGGGGTGACAGTGACAGCCTAGTGCGTTCCCCACCA